AATAGCTTATGCAATTAATCGTTCTCATTTAATATCAGAAAGAGGGTGATAAAATTTTACATAGAATCTGTTTTGCTGTATGGCAGCGAATCTTGGAATGTCAGTGAACAAATTAAGAAAAATTTGGAGGCAACAGAGATGTGGTTTCTGAGACGAATGTTACGAATACCTTGGAGGCCAGAGTAACTAACAACGATTGTTTGAAAGAAGCTAAGGAAAGAAGATCATCTCTATATATAACAATAAGAAAGAAACAAACACTGTTCTGTGGTCACATAATGAGAAGAGAGACGTCAGAGAACATCCTGACAACTGGAAAGATCAGTGGAAAAAGGGGTAGAGGCAGACAAAGAGATGATGCTGGATGGGCTGAAATGAAGGCATGGAGGGATATCATCAAGAGAGATAGCTGTTCCAGGCAACCAGGGATCGTGATCTGTGGAGACGCATGAGCGCCTACGCCAGTTAGCAGGGCACATGATCATAATGACAAAGAAACTGAAGTAAAGCTAAGATAGCAAATAAACAGTCCTCAATATAGCAGGCCCTCCAGCGGCTCAAAGAGGACTAAGCTCGTATTTTTTTTTTTCCAATGAATCCTAATCCTGATCCCAGAGTCATTGCAGAGATACCCGGATGTGATATCACTGGTTTTTCGCGCGCGTTTGATCGATCAATTGTTCATCGAGGATGACGACCATCACTCTTGATAAGACGGCAGACGCCACCAGCAGGGCTGCTAATGCTGGGTTTTACCCCCAGATCTGGGATTTTATTTGACGCCTTGGGTTTAAATTTTGAAATCTGGGTTTAAAAAAAAAATCCTTATATGAAAGTAGGTAAATATTTCATTTGGTAACCATAAACCTTGTACTTATAAACAATCTGGGTTTTTATTTTGTTTTTCTGTTCTTTGATTATGTATTGTTTTGTTTTTTGTTCAGCTCAGCTGGGTTTTTAAAAAAAAAAGTCCAATTGGCAGCCCTGGGTCCACAGGTTCAGTGTTCTGGTAGCACGAGACGGTACACGGTGAAGTTTGCGGTTCGTCAGTTTGTAATTTAACGAGGTTACCGCAGTTTGTGACTTTTTTCTGCTTCTCTTTAATTCTGCGTTTAACTGTTTTTACATATAACTGGTAAGCTTTAAACAAAAAATAGTATCCGATAAATAATTGTTGGAGAAACGATTTTGTTTGTGCCCATGCTATTTCCATTGGTATGCATAGTTTTGTTTCGTTTATTTTGCTTGACATTTTCACCCGTAACTAGGAACGCCACGGCGATCAACAAAACCAGCCCGCATTGACCGTAATTGAGAAATTATTTTTCCGTGCTCTTTACATGAAAGAACAAATCGAAACAATTTTTATGAGTTACTGAAGAGATGCTTGGCTGTGACATGACACGGGTTTGGCATGCTCACGATAAATAAATTTCTTTCAGAAATGACTGACTCCTAGGTTGACCCAGCCTTGAGTGGGTAGGTACTAGGTGCAGTCCTGGGAAGTAAAGGTGGTCGGAGTGATGCTGACCGTATTACCCACTATCTAGCTGTCATGGTTTCCTAAGTAAAAACCCAAATATAAAACTTCAATCATCCCTAATAATATACATTATACATATATTATGATAATTTTTATCATCTTAGGAAAGCAAAGATGGACGATTATAGATGATATTATTACTTTTATGTAGTTTATAATTAAACATATCTAAAGCAAAGAGGGACTTTAGATTGCTGAAATTACTAGACTTTTATGTAGTTTATAATTCCCAGATGATTATAATTGCGGACCTCTTTCCGGCGACTATACTGAATACCACGGAAAAGCTTCTGCCGAGTTGAAGTCACTCCTGAGAGTTCCTCCCAGCGCCGCTACGTGCAACGCAGAGTGGGGGCTTAACTAGATGGCTGGAACTCACGAGCTGCATCTCCTGCAGCTTCCTCCATTTTATTTGCTTGTGAGTCCCAACTATCTAGTTAAGCTTCCCTTCACGCCACATGTAGCAGCGCAGGGGAAACTTGTGGCCGTATAGTCCCCAGAAAGAGGTCCGCAATTTACATATGACTGAGGCCCTGTTAGGGTATTTTCCTAGCCTCGATAATTTGAGACCGTTTTTCAGAGGATAGCCTACTAAGTCTCTTGGCTTTAGCCTCATCACTAATCGAACTAACTAATTGTATTTCACATATGTTCAGCATGTATATTGAAAAAAAAAGGTTTAACCAATACTCAAAACATTTAATTGCCGAGCTCCGCTTAGTTTAATGATTAATCTCCTGTTCTCTACTTCATCGTGGTGTGACGTGTTGAAGAACACACCTATTTAAGTCCTGGACCTGCGGGCTGCTCCCTCAGCTGCTGATCTCCAGAAGGCGCAGCCCGTGTCGAGTGGAAAGCTCAACATACGGTTGTGAAGTTAAGCAGTTATATGCAGGATGTGATGATTCCTTGGGAAAGCCCAGGACCAGAGCATCTTGTGTCGGCTCTACATTTATGGAAACCACCTTCGACGGCAGGAAATGCCCTTCATCTGCCCCTATCTTCTCTTGAAGGCTGACCAGTCAACACAAGGTTGCCCCAAAGTGGTTTTCTAAGGGCAACATCTGCAGACAAAGGGACAAAGAAAATATCACACAAATAAGGTAACATCATGTTCCACGAAACAATGGCCACAGTCATCCTAGAGATAGGACCGATGTCTTTCCTCAAAGTCAGAGTACATCTGTTCGAGAGGTAAAGAACAAGAACTGAGCACAAAAAAGCCAGTAAAACTGATGTACATGCAAATCTCTGGTCCTGGCACAATGAAAAAACAAAGTCTAAATGGATGAACAGCCAGGACTTTCCACCAGAAAAGAAGTAATAGATCACTAACCTTAGGCCCTAGGTGTCGCCAAAGGACCTTACCGCTGTTTGGCCTGTTCAATTGCATCACAGATGCAATTAAAAGCTGCCACCACATCTGAACTCAGTGTCATAGCACCCTCAATAGGGAAAAGACCAATATGCTATCATGGCTTTCACTTTGGTCGTAATACATTTTAGGTTTTTCATCATAGGACATTTGTAGAGTCACACTTATTGTAAAAGAAAGTTAGCATTTTTTGTGCAAGTTAGGCAGAAATGATAACCTCTACAACATGGGATGATGTGATCATAACCTGAAATTGAATCACCAGTCTTAAATAAATGTGCCAATGTATGTATATAGGTGGAAAGTTCTGGTTGTTTGTCCAACTGTGGACTTGAGCATAATTTTTTTTTTTAATTTCGGACTTTCTATTGCTGACGGTGCTGAGAACAGCAAACTTGAAAATCTACAGCCTCCTGGACTGTTCCACCACCCCACACATTTTACTGACAGACAAAGCTCATGTCCCTTTCAACTACCTCGTTGTTTCCTCTTTAGTTTCAATCAATTGTAGTCGACCTGGCTACTACTTCTTTTTAAATTTTAGTACTCTAGTTCACGTGACAGTTATGATCCGCTGAAAACTGGTGGCAATATTCAACACTGCCGATGCACAGTCCTCCTTTCAAACAGCGTAAAGGGAATCGAAAATTTATATTGTCTGTCCACAAGCACAGTGTTGTTCAAAATCTGTTTTTTTTAAAGAAAACGAAAATAATGTCCACAGATAAAACTGGCTGTCACCCAAAAATAATTGATGAAGAAATTGAAAATGTCACAAACTGGACTATCTGGCTGAAAACAGCAAACTGTTCGAAAGAAATACAAAAAAGGATGGCCTTGGCAATTCAAAGATTGACCAGCCTTAAAAGTCTATGGTTAAGCACCAGCAAGGACATACAAAGAATTTTGAGAGCATGCATCTTCCCTGTGGCTACATACGGATGTGAGTCGTGGACTATCTCTAAGTCCTTGAAAGAGAATAGGGGCTTTGCTCTATAGAAAGTTTCAGAATATCTTGGACAAAGAAGATGAGAAATATTGACATCTTAAAAGATCGACCAAGGAAGATTGGCTAATAAACAGCATCCTTTCTCAGAAGCTGACTTATTTTGGTCAATCACGCCACAACGGATCACAGAGAAGTGTCCGATCGACACAAATGGGCACACAATATAAGTGGCTCCTTGAGTCCATGAGTGGCAAAGACCGAGTTTCTTTCAGGCAGACTGTGATGAGCGCGACGTTCTGCAAAGGACCTGCTACATGATGATGACTCTAGTTCACAGAGAAGTGTCCATCCACAAACACCTTTATTGCTCCTAGTGAAAATCATAGAGATTTCTCTGTCAAAGACATGCTGGGTAGTTAAGCTTATATTTCAAGACTCATTACTTCACATTATATATTCTACAATGCACTAACATTCCTAGAATAGTCAGTGTTTCTTGTGTTTATAAAAAAAGTAACAGTAAAGGTCCCTTTTCCACGCATTTAGTCGTGTAGGGCATATAGGGCTAGACCTATATTTTTATAGACCAATCGGCACAAGATGGGTGATGTGGTCAGCATCACGCTGGCCGCCTTTACTTCCCGGGACTTCACCTGGTACCCACTCAAGACTGGGTTGACCTGGGAGTCAAAGTCATTTAAAAAAAAAGAAGCTAGTCACTGCCAGGAAGCAAACGTACGACCTTCCGATCCGCACGCAAGCGTCTAGCCACTATGCCATGTCGACTCCCGTTTCTTGTGTAGTTACACCACTGCCGGCTTGCTAGGCCTGTTGCGGTGCAGGAAAATATTTTTTACCTGGTTGGTGCCCGTCTTCCAGGCAGCCATCGCCCCTTTAGCCTGAAACTACGCGGCTCAATTCTTCCGGCGTGCAGCACGAAGATGTGGGATTGACCTCTATGGGTCGTTGGCAGGTTACTTAAATTTACTTGTCACCTCACTGAAGAGAAGCTAGCCAGCCTTAACACTGCAGTACCAAGTGCCTGAGCACACCCTTACTTTAGCATTGTTTTTTTCTTTTCACTTCCATTGCTAGCTTATTATAACAGATTTTTATTGTAGGTCAGATTCACTATGAATAAAGAGTCTATTCCACCTACACGGTTTGCTGGCCGCACTTACAGCCAAGCACGAAATAGTACAGCAAATCGCAATGTTGACGATGCAGCTGATGCCAGAACTGTTCAAATTAAGGTGGCCACATCTTTTTCAAAGAGGGGGAAAGCCAACTTTTTCCTCATTCCTGACAATTCAAATGGTGCAACAGAAACCAAAAAGATGAAGTTCAAAAGCGAAGGAGAAGATACTTTCAGTTTTAAAACTGTTGATAAGAGGAAATCGAGTTTTGCTGTGAAAGAGGATCTAATAGCGCAGAAACATGATCCTCGCCAGATGACAAAACTATCTGCCTCTAAAACTGAAGTGAAAGATGAAGGATCGGATAAATATTTAAAAGAAGGAAAAGAAGAGGCATGTTTCTCATCAGCTCTCCGCATCAGTTCCAGGACAGCTTCCAAGAAATTGGTAATCTCGGATCCGTTTTTAGAAGTTGGAAAGCAGATGCTGTCTGGACAAACAATGTTCTTCTCTAAAGCAAGATTAGAAGCATCTACTAATTCACAGAATAGGGGTACAGATGATGATTTATTCCCTGTTCAGTTCAAGGGTCATCCTCTGAAAACCAGCTCTAGAGTTACCCCAGCAGATAAACCTGATTCTCCACCACAGAAGTCTGGGTCTAAAAGAAAGGGTTGGCAGAGAGGTCGAAAATCTCTGACCGTAAATGATCCTAAGTTAAATGTGCACTGCAATAGACATCATGCTGCCCAGCAGTTGAATGAGAAACCAGATGCAACCACAAAAGGCATAAACAAAAGCACAGTTGTATTTAAGAAAGAAATGGCTAATAAAGCTCATAGGACCACTGTTGTTTGCAAACCTAAAGCCCAGGCAAAACATGTGTCCCAAATTCTAAACAGAAAGGAACATTGATTCCCGTGGAATCAAATGCAGCCTTCTCACAAGCTACACCAGGGGAAAATGTAAATGTGGAATCCATAACCCCAGCATCAGCCAATACAGAGGCAGTGTTCACGCGGAGAAGTGCTCGTCTTCGGATTATGTCAGCCTTGGTAGCTAATTCAGAGAGAACCACACCATCTTCTGATAGCAGTGCAGTTGCTTTTCTGTCAGTCAACCCATCTTCTACAAAACATGCCACCAGAGGAAGACATTCCAACATTACTTTAGCAAATTCTGCCACATTATCATCTTCAACTGTAACCTCATCAGAAGGTACCCTAGCAGATGATGTCTCATCAGGGTGTGGTGTTAAACAATCTCAGAATTTCAAGTCTCAGGCTCCTCAGGTGGGTTTTGTAATTCTGACACACTTCCTTCACTTTATGGTTTTATAATCCCCAGACTTTTTCTTCATAGCCCTCATACTTAGTTTTATAATCCCGGCACATTTTTTTTTCATAACACACACTTTGTTTTATAATCATCCTGGTTTAAGTATTCTGAAATCTATCTTATGCTAATTTCTCACTTGTTTTGCTTGCAATCTCTTGCTGACCTGTCTACAGCGTATCCCTCCAGTATGTCTTTTATCTGATGTCCCATATTGTGCCTGAAATATTTCCATTGCCTCTTCTTTTTTTTTTTCTTCTGTTACCAACCCTCTTGTTATATCCATCTGTCTAGAACCTCTGTATTTGACTGCTTTTGTTGCCCTGAAATATAAAATCTTCTTTTACATATCTACATCTTTGGGGTCCATTTAAATGTTTTCATGTTAATCATTCAAGTTCTTGGCCATATAATTATGTTGAATGTATAAAACTGATAATTATCATTTTAACGTTCTTTTAATTCTTCTAGTTATCAATAATGTGTTAGTCATGCCTGTTCTAATGTAGATTACTGTATGTTACTTCAAAGTGGCTAAATGTGGCAGTGCCACAACAGCAAATTTGGTACAGCATCACAGTAGGAGTCTTGTTACAAGTCTCTATATTTAAATGATTGGGCACACAGGTCACTTTCATTACTTATGGGTCCTCTAAAAAAGGTTTCAGTTTTCTCTCCTTAGATATCACAGCATTCTTTATATAATTGTTTGTAGTGTGTGTTTTGTTTGAAATCTTGCCTGGATTGCAGGATAGTTGGTGCACACTTTGATTTTCAATTGCTAGGATTTGTAACATGCAGTGATAGCTGATCTCATATGCTACTTTGTTGCTAATCTTTTTCTACGTGCTAAGAGCACCATGATCTGCATTTAGGGAAGCCTCTTTGGATGGCAGGAAATGCTCATGTTCTACTCTTGCCTTCTCTTGATTGCTGACCAGCATTACATTGCTGCTGTGGACCGGCCTGATAGGGGAACCACCTGTGACCTGGAAAACAAAGATGACCACACAGCATTGAGACTGCAGTGTCCCAAGAAACTAACCGGGAAGGCTAACCTGGGCAACAAAAGCCTGAAGTCAGTTGTGTCTTCTAAAAGGTGCATATATCACAGTAATGCTGTAAACGAGCACAATGCATTCACATTTTTTTGGATGAACGCAGAAGAAGATGACAGTGGTTTCAGGGCTAACCTTTATATACCATGAAAGAAAAAAAATGAAAAACACCGAAATAAAGGAGTAGCCACAATGGTGACAGTTGTGAATTGCAAATTAGTATGGGTGCCTAGTTTAAACTGCCATATTGGCCACATTCTGAGGTGAAGTGGACAGAGAATCAGAAAAAAAAGCACTGAGATGGCAAACATGGAAGCAGTGACATTTTGGGGAAACATAGACCAACTGCCTCCCTAACCAACATGTAACACAAAGTGACTAACTAATTAGGACTCATTTCAAGTCTGAATGCATCTGTCTAAGAGATGAGGAATGAACAGTCTCAATCTGAATGAGCTGGATCTGTAAAATAGATATGTATGCAAAACTCAAGGTATGGAACAAGACCATATCATATTTCCAGAAATGGTGTACAACCAGAACTTTTCCCCCGAAGTTAATAGCTGGTGAAAGAAAAGAAAAAGTAAAAAAGTTTTTTTTTACCTGTTTATCACATGTCCATATATGATAGCTGTTTGTTGAAAAAAAAAAAAACATTGTTATGTATTCTTTACAGGATGTTGCAGAACCAAACCCAGCATTTTTTGCTTGTCATAGTTTCTGTAAGAAAATTTGACTATCATTGGTTTGACACTGTTCTGAACAGTTGTCTGCCGCCAGATCACCAGCAGCTGGCATTGCGAAGCAGGTTTGCAATGCCTAAGCCACAGACGTCGACAGAATCAGAACTTATTACTTGTCTCATTATAATATATTCTCTAATCCAATTTTTTTCCCCAGATGCACACTGCAGTTAATAATGTCAAGCAGACGCATGAAGTACACAAGTTGGGAAAGACTCGAGATATCATGGACGAGGTTAACTGTCTGGTTGATAGCTTAAAGGATACAAACCCCACCCCTGTACGCAGCTTTAGGTCTGTCACTTTGCAACATACATTTTTATGCTAGACTTAATAGAAGACTAAAAATCTGGTATGTAGATGACAATTGGTGTCAAACCTATTGTGCTGTATGGGAGTAAATGTTGAAACATGAGTAATCAAATTAGGAAAAGCTTGACGGCAGCATAAGTGTGGTTTCTGAGACAAACATCTTGAGCAGTCAGAGTAACAAGCTGTCAAGTGGTAGGAGGAGTTGTGGAACAAACTGAGTGCGCTGTTGGTAAATTACAAAACTATGGATATACTGAGAATGCTGGCTCCAGGTCAGAGGTTGTTGCTAGGGGTTGCATCTTAAGTGCATTAATAATGAGCAGACACAGGGCGACAATCACAAAATCATTTTGGCTGCCAGGATAGTAAGGACAGCTCTGAGATGAACTGTAGACAAAGTGCTCTTCTGTGCTTCAGCCTTTTTTTTTTAATTTGCTTTTGCCATCACCTCACAGAACTGCAGATAACAGATACAGTCAAACAGTTGATTAACCTCTGATGGCAGGGACACAAGTTGGGCCAAACTCATTGCACTATCCAAAAATCCTTCCTGTGGCTGCTATGCCTCTGGGTTATATTGTGTCCAACTCATACTGTTTTTTACTTATACTACACCACTGCCTCCTGAACCAGCCATGCTAGTCTTAAGAACCTAGTCAAAGTTAATGGTCCCAAAACTGCCCTTTGTCATACTAGACATTAATGGGAATATCGGTATAACACTACTATCATCATTTGTACACATTCTTATATTCTTAGTTTATACTACTAACAGCTGCATATAGAGATAGTAATACTTGAACTATCTTGTTAGCATTAAACAATTGATGAGAAACTAACTGAAGCTGAATCAAGTGGAAATCATTTTGAAGAAACTTATTATTCGCTAAAATATTGAAAACAAATACAAGAGCCAAAAAGGAAACATGTACAGACTCTCGAAGAAGATCTGAAGAATGAACTCAAATTGTCTTAGTATCAGGTCAACTCTAGGCCTTGCGTGGGAGTCATGCACAAGTTGTGTGTCTGTTACGTAGGGAGTGTCACACCTGATTTTTGTATGCTGCATGGGATTAACAGGTTATCTGTCCACACAAATTTGAGGTGTAAGTGAAATTTGGGGTATAGTCTGTTTCAGACTTCTAATCTTGACTAACTGTAGTCTGTTTCTGACCTGACTATATGACACTAACAATGATTTCTGTGAGCAAGTTAATGAAACAACACTGTATGCTTTTCCTTCTCATCCTTAAGTTACCTCAGTGCAGTTAGGCAGGGTGGAATGTAAGGATTGTCTGTGCACCCTTTCTTATGTTTGAACATTGTATGCAGCCGTGACAGGGCCGTTGTCTATTAGTGATCTATGTATGCTGAAATTCGATCCACATTTTATACATTTTTGTCCCTGAGATAAACTTAGTTAAAACCATGAACTAGAGGAAAGAGACTATCAGTTAATACTATTTGGTCATATAATTAGAAGGGAGGCATTGAAAAACATGGGTAGTAGAGAGATCAGTGATCAAAAAAGCAGACTGACAGATATGATGCTGAATGGTTTAACTCTTTGAGTCCCAAGGAACGAACGCATCATAGAAGCCCAATGAATGCATAATGCACCGATTTTACGTCTCTTTTGACTACCCCTTGGGCCTGTGATGCCAAACCCTCTGGGACTCAAAGAGTTAAAATGATAAAAGTATCAAAAGCTTAGAGTCAAAACACAGTGGATGAAGATTTGTGGAGAGAACTTCTTTGCGATCTGCACATAATGATTTTGTCAAGCTTCTGGTTTAGAGCACATCATAAGTTGTAACATACTTCTCAGCCATGATGCACACACACACATACCACAACCTTCCCAACCCAGTGGAAATGTTAAGCATCAATTTGTTTTTCATAAACAGTGTGGGTGTGAAATCAAGTATCCATTTTGTGTTTTCAGTTGCTGGAAACTGGCTCGCAAGTGCATCTCACCTGTCTTCTGTAAGAAACTTCGTGTCCATGGGAGGGTCACAGAAATCTTTAGCCACCTACATGATGCCTGCTCTGACCCTGTAAGTAAATGTTCTATTGTTGTTTGTTGTAGACAGGATTGCTACCCATGCAACACTGAATAACAAATGTGAAATACAAGAATTAAGGCAATGTGAGGCAAAGAAAGAAAGAAAAAACTATATACTTTTTAATTTCCACATTTGGTTTACCGACAGCTGCACAAAAACTAAATCTTAGTTTCTCGGATGCTCTTTTCAGTACCAAAGTAAAGCAGTGAGGAATTAATATACAAACTTTCATTATAATCTGACCAAAACCTTTTTTTTTAAACAATGTTCCCCAAGTGTTTGGAAAAACCCCCAAAAAGAGAACAAAAAAAAACTGTCAAAATGAGGATTTTGAAATAAAAAGAAATATTTTCATGTTTTATTGTACTAATAAAGTTTTCTTAATGCTTAAACAAGTTACATAGAAAAACAGTTTCCAACAGTGTATTATCATCAGAACAGTTCTGCTGCATATGCAGGATCTCCCTTCAGGGCTTGCATGTCCTCTTTTTTAGTTTGGCCTCTTGTACACTATTGTCTCCTTTTTCTCTTCAGTTTGGCCTCTTGTACACTATTATATCTCCTCTTTCTCTTTAGTTTGGCCTCTTGTACACTATTATGTCTCCTTTTTCTCTTCAGTTTGGCCTCTTGTACACTATTATATCTCCTCTTTCTCTTTAGTTTGGCCTCTTGTACACTATTATGTCTCCTCTTTCTCTTTAGTTTGGCCTCTTGTACACTATTATGTCTCCTCTTTCTCTTCAGTTTGACCTCTTGTACACTATTATGTCCCCTCTTCCTCTTTAGTTTGGCCTCTTGTACACTATTATGTCTCTTAGTTTGCTTGTCCTTTTTATACTTAATGCTATTTATAACTATCTTCTGCATCCTAGATACTCAATAGTCTCTTCATATGCAGGCCTATAGAAAATCACCCCAAGAAAACTGGGCAGTGTCGTGGGCAAGTCTTTTCCTGCAGTTACAACAGCAAACTGTCACACTTGCGTGAGGCAAAGTTATCTTGAATGTTGAATTAAGAATCAACATCATACCACCTAGGACACCCCCATAAGCGCTCTGTCCCCATACATCAGTTCACTACCAAGTGGTGCAGAGCCGGCCAGTCTATCTGGCTGCTCATTTCCCAACACACTGACATGACCTGGAGAGAATATCCTAAGGATGCTAACCATCTGGGACCTCTGAAGTGATGGTTGCCACTTTGCCCGGAGCCATACCTGTTTCCACCTTTTTCGACGTACTCTGTGAGTCAGTTACAATCACGGCATGTGTGTACAGCTAGTTCTCAAGCCAGCGGAAGGCAACAGTAACTGCCTCAACCTCCATTCTCAAACTTGACATTGTGATATCATATGCTAGGCTTTGTTGCACTAAGCGACGTCCATTTTGCTTTTACTATGAACCCCATTCACTTCATCTGCGCCTCAACACAGAGCCATCTGTATAGATAATCACATCACTTGGGCGGAAATTGTCATGAGTCATTTGTTGACCTGCTGATTCCGCAGGGCCAGCTGGCCAATCCCTGCACTTACGACCCAAAGTGATAAGAACCCTACACAAGTCTGAAACTTGCTCAGACACTTTAACCAACTCTTTACCTCGCACAATTTTTTCAAGCTGCACACAACTCTTATTGTGTCTTCAGTTTGTGCCGTTCAAGATCTTCCTCTTTTCAGTCTGTGACCCTTAGCTGTATCCAGGGCTTCTTGTCTGCAGCTACTCTGAGATATGACTTTGCTTGCAGAACTTTGAGCCTATCTGCAATAGTAGGCAGTGCAAGTATATCTCGCATACATACTACTGGGGTGGGAGTTTCCGTGGCAGATTAGCTAGACGCTCGCCACGGATCAGAAGGTAGTAGGTTTACTCCCTGGCATAGCCAGACTTTTTTTCAAAAATGACCTTTGCTCCCGGGTTGACACAGCCTTGAGTGGGTACCAGTGCAGTCCCCAGAAGTAGAGGCGGCTGGCGTGATGCTGACCACATAACCCATCTTGTGCCGTTTGGTCTATAAAATATAGGTCTAGCCTTAACGCATGGAAAAGGGTCTTTTACATATTACTGGGGTATCTCTTGTACATCCAAGAATTACCTGCATGGCTTCATTCTCTATGCGGTTAAGTTTCATCAGCTGACTCTTTGATATGGTAAGCATTTCAAGTCCATAATCTATCACCAACAGGGTCACATGCTTTAACACTGTGAACAGCATTTTTTGTTCCATGTCCTTTGCTTCCATAATCTTGAGAGCATTGAGTCCTTTTTGGCATTTCACCACAACTGCCTCCACATCATCCCTGAAGGACGGTCTTCTGTCACAAATGATATTAGGTTTTGGTACTGACTGTTCCCTATTAATGCTTAGTGTTGGCATAAAACGTGACAATTCCCATTGTGTCAGGGGCTTTGGGCTTACAGGCCCATTGAGGGAAGATATTAACCTCTCCTAGAAAGAGGAAATGCAGACTGAAAATGTAATGCTATTGCAAGGCTGACCAGGCCCTCAGCCTTGGTTGTCAGCTGGTCTAGGAGGCAAGACAAAGAGAGCACTGCTCTTTTGATCAGGCAGCTTCTGCAGCATGCTTTCCAAATGTATTGATGCTACCTTTTCTTTAGAGTAAACAAGATAGACAGAGAGCTGTGATGAACTGATATGATTTTTATGTTTCCTCTAGTACAATGTAACACTTGTTGGAAAGTATGCACACACACACACACACACAAATACATAAATAAATACATTCATTAAAAAAATCTTGCTTGCAATTTTTATCTTGAGTGAATTTTCTGGTTCGGCTTTTTTCCTTGTGTTTTTAATAATTAGCTTTATCTTGATTTCTCTGCTAGTGTTTGGCACTGATCACCTCTGCCATGATGTTCTTGCTTAGTCGTGATTCTCTGAACATGGAACTTAATCAGGACAACCTCAACCTGATGCTAAGACTAAAAAAGGTTGACGCTGCTGAGCGCGGTTGTCTGGGCGCATTTGCTTTGAATAAACTGGAGAAGTTCAAGTCGACGGTCATGGAAATATTGGTAAAGTTGCCACAGGAAACACCTGCCAGAGAAATTGACCTGGGCTTTGTCACCGTAAGTTTGGTTTGGATTTTGTCCCAATAATTAGGAAAGACATGTGTGAGGTTTGTTCTGTAAGTTTTGGATTGAAATAAAAACATACATAACCACCCTTGGAACATTCCCATAAACTTTCCATCTTTATCAACAGCACAGGTGATGGATGATAACCAGTAGCACCTTGATATTATGTCTATCTTGCCTTTCCTCTAAGAATTGCGTGTCGACCATATCCCTGGTATTCCCACCGCACCATTCTCTCCAGACCATGATCTCTTTGTGCTTTAGCACTGTTTATTTGCTCAAAAAGTTTCTTGACTGCATCTAGCTTGTCGTGAATCAGTTTACCACCAAGTGGTGCAGAACCAGCCGGCCTGTCCATTTCCTAACCCTCTGGAGAAAATTCCAAGTGATGCTAATTGAATAACCCAGGATCTCTGAAGGGATTAGGTGTTGTTTAAGTAAATCAGCTCAGCAAGTTTAGTATTGAGGGGAAAAAAACCATGTGTATGGAGTTTGTCTTCGCAAGTTGGACTTAGGATTTGCCTATATAGTTAGGAAAAAACAAATGTATGTATGCAGCTTACATATTTGGTTCAACATTTGCCATTAGGGACCACACATATATGGCGCTTGGCTTAATGAATATGAATTAGTTTATTTCTATGTTTTTTTTTAAAGATTGTCTAAAAGGGAAAAAACTACCTAATCCCATGGACAGAAGTAACTGCTGCATCGCAACAATCATGTTCGTAAAAGCATGACTTAAGTTGGCTAGGAGCCTTTGTCCTTTATAAAATCTTTTGTGTTTTCCATTATAATGGTGGTTGTTATGTTGTGTTACAGTTGCAGCCAGCATATTTGGATTAGGCATTGTGAGCGCGTTTTATAGTTCCGGGTTCAATCCAATCAGCAGACAACCTTACGTTGGTTTCGGTAGTGTTGTCGAGAGCTCATCTTTCAGAAAGCATAAATAAATTAATTAGCTGCTGATTACGACATGCTTGCTAAGGCAATCTTAACCCTTTGAAACTAAATTGTATACTGTTTAGTTTCTACGTTTTGGTGTGGTATAGCGTTTTATATTGAAGACCTCAGATTGACCTTGCACCTAACGGTTGCTATGGAAACTAGGAAACAGTGGCCATATTGGATTTCTTGGGATATGTCTAAAAACATCATTTTTATTTGTACAGCCTCAAATTTTTTCATATTTATAGATTCACTAGCTGTACCCGGCCAGGCATTGCTGTGGCATAGTTTGGCTGAATTAAAAAGAAAGAAAATAGAAATCTTGCTTCGTACATCCAGTAGTCGGAAAAATTACCCAAGTGAAAAGCAATGAAAACAGGAAAAATACACAATAATTACGAAATGATTGCTATGGTAAATTGTACCAAGCGCGCGTTGCTATGCCTCTAATAGAAATTCAGTTGAAAGGAAAGTCGATATAACACTATGTAGTATTTATATTGGATCATTGTGCTGTTTACAAATCCTTAGGAAAAAACAGGCAATTTAAAATGTCGTAATTGTTTTTAGTTTTTCCGCCTGGTGCGTACACAAATAAATCAGTAGGTTTTCCGACGCCTGAACAGGCCACATATGGCTGTCCATGTGAAAAGCATGGATGTTCCAAATGTAGTCCACACAATTGTTCTGATTGTCCCTGTGATTTGTTGATGGTCATTGCTAAGGTGAGTCGCACCAGAAACTGCAAGCATCTGAAGTTGAATGGCATGTCTGTTGGAATTGCGTTGCAATAGTATATTCTGGCCCTTAAATGTTCATGTAAAATTGTACTTACGATGATATTGGGCACCATCTTTTTCACTGAAAGCCTGGTACCACTGCAAAGATGTGGCGGATTGATGTTTCTGAGAAGAATAACAGGCACGCCAACTTTCAAGGTTAAAACATGGGGTGGCATGCCTGGCAAATCAAGCGAATTGAAGAACTCAGTTGGATAATTGACAACCTCGTCTTGAATCATTGATAGACTTATACATTGTCACTCCGCCTGGTAATTTGTCTTAGATGTTCGGATTCATGGCATACACATTCTTGTTTTTAGCTGCTAAGATAGCACGTTTACTGAGCCAATGATGATTTATGTAATTCTGTGTGATATTAGGGAAAACTTCGTCCCATATAATGAGTTGACATACTTTGCGTACTTTACCCATTGCAAAATCATTGTTGATATTGCATGTTGGTGTCTCAGTGATATGCATATTTAAAGGCAACTTCAGTGCTGAATGCGCTGTTCAGCAACCATCCAAAAGAGTTGCAGCAAATCCAGAAGATGTGATTGCCAGTGCAATATTATTTTGTGACCGTATGGATGCCAAAATAAGCGAAATGAGAAAGGTCTTGCCTTGGTCCTCTGGGTGCATCTATGAAATACAATCCTCCGTGTTGTCTTGTAACGGCATGCATAATTGTTTCATATGCTATACGTTGTTCTGGAACCAAATTTGGAAGATTTGTTTGAACAAATGTACCTAATTCGGTGACATCAAAGTGTGTCTCTTGTTGCAACTCACGATCGAAATGGTTGTTTGCAGATCGTTCTGGTGGAGCCAGTCCCACCTGAACCAGTGCTTTATTATACAATGTACGCACAATTTATCCATTTTGCCAATAAGCTTCTGTGGATGAAGACTGTAATCATAATTGATGGTGTAATGGAATGCACCAAGATTCAAATCAACATGCAGTGTTCGCCTGGATAAAGTAGTGCGCATTTGAACGGTGTCCAGTCTTGCTTTCCATTGCTCGACTGTGTCTGATAAACCGTTTCCAGTCTTGCTTCTCGATGCTCGTCTGATTGAGATGAACAGGCTTCGGCAGTGCGCACTCGAATGGTTTCCAGTCTTACCTCACATTACTCGTCTGTTTCTGAAGCAATTAATGCCCTCCTCTTGCATGTTTTAGGTGTAGATGGGCCAATCGCTTGTCGTTTGGGAAGCATAACTGCAAATTTTGTGAGCGCTGATCATCAGTAGCTTGTTCGTCCTCATGATGAAATGTGACTTGAAGTATCGCTGAAATAAATGAAAATAGGAGCATGAGATAATAATCTATTTTGACTCAAGAGGAAATGCATAGAAACTGGGCAGCAAATAGTAAGAAAAGGCGGTTTATAAGACAATATGAGAAAGCCAACAGATAATGTGCATACATTTATCATTGTGAGATTTAAGGAGTGGTCCACACATGTATTTGAAGTTTAAAAAATGTACATAATGACTGATGTCACTGGAAATAAATGCGCTCACCTGTTGAGATATTTCTAGATTCTAACACTGACCTGAGATGGAATGTCATGTAAATTTATATAATTCTTTTGAATAACAGTAGAAAGCCAACCAAAACTGTTGTACCCATGAGTATGAGAAAGATAACAGATAATGATAAATCTTTTTCTTCTTCTTCGCGTTCACCAGCTGTAGACTCTGGCAGAAAGTTCTGCTTGCTCGTCCACTACTGAACTGCAGTCCTGCTCCAGAACCTGAGTGTTGCGTATGCATCAGTTTTACAGATCTCATTCTCTTGAATACAGACTGTTGGTTCCTTGCCTCTCCGGCAGATGCACTCCGACTTCAAAGGAGGCTCCCCAATTAGTCCACTCTTACGACATGCTTTTGGGGAGGCAGTGGGTCTATTCTTGTTTTCCCAACAATGGGACCCCGGAACCCACACAGGGAATAATGATTAATGATAATGTGTATATATTTATCATTGCGGGATTTAAGAATTGGTACACACTTGTTTGAAGTAAACAAAAAAACATGTACATACTGGTTTCCAGTCTCACCTCACGTTGCTCATCTGTTTCTGAAGCAATTAATGCCATTCTCTTGCGTGTTTTAGGTGTAGATGGGCCAATCGCTTGTCGTTTGGAAAGCATAACTGCAAATTTTGTGAGCGCTGATCATCAATAGCTTGTTTGTCCTTACGCACTGAATGAAATGTGACTTGAAGTATCGCTGAAATAAATGAAAATATGAGCATGAGATAACAATCTATTTTGACTCAAAAGGAAATGCATAGAAACTGGGCAGCAAATAGTAAGAAAAGGGGGTATATAAGACAATATGAGAAAGCCAACAGATAATGTGCATACATTTATCATTGTGGGATTTAAGGAGTGGTGCACACATGTATATGTTGAATAAGTGTACAAAGTTTCATTATAATTAAAGTAATTTTTGAGAAATATTTATCACGAGCCACAAAATCGATAAAATTAACACAATTTTTTAAATGCTCAAACAAGTTTTTTTACAAAGAAGAATGCTGTTTCTGATATTACATGATCATCAGATCAATCCTGCTACATATGCAGGACCTCCCTCTAGGCATGTAGTTCGTCTTGCCTTTTCAATTTGGTAGCTTGTACACTGCCACATCTTTTAGTTTGCTTGTCCTTCTTATATTTCAAGCTATTTCTAACTCTCTTCTGCATCCTAGAAGCTCCTAGTCTCTTCATATGCAGGCCTGTAGAAAATTAAAAAAAAACTGGGCAGTGTCTTGAGCAGCAGCAGCGCTAAAGTTGAACTCTCTTGCTGCAGGGACATCTGCAAACTGAACGCACTTGCATAAGGCAAACATGTCTTTAGTACAGCGAACCCAGTTCAGGCCTGTAAATTCTCATTTGAAATTTGTTCCTGAAACACTCTACTAGGTAGTTTAGGGTCAGACAGCCTTTCATAAATTTGCTAAAGATATTTCTGTAGCTTGTCACAGTTGAGCCACGGGTGTAACATCTTGTCATGAGGACCTGGGGACTGATGCTTAGCCAGGGTAGACTGAAAAAACACAAGACTGCTCTCCGCTTTGGCATATTTCAGCGTTTTGTCTGTTAAAAGACTGTGATGCAGTGAAGCTGAAACACTCTTTCCCATAGCCTCTACACTTGTGTTGTTCCTTATTGCTCTGTTGTAGTAAATTGTCAGCTTACGAATAGCATTTTGTGTAAGCTGACCTTGACCACATCCGCCCAGGGTCACGCCTTGCTTTGGGCAGTCAGGAACATTACAGAGTGCTGTTCCAAGGCATTAACTGACATGGTTGATACATTCCAATTTGTCTGTTTGAATGTCCACCCCACCTCCACTCCTTCACCTTTTCACTCTTAGGGTGAGAATGGGATACTCAAAGAAATATTACTTTATATCAGCTGTGATATCTAGTGCATATTTCGCATGATTAGTAGCTCCAAGTTTTGTCTAAGCCAGTCACTACTTGGTCGGTGATGTGATCATTATCATACAACTGCTAATACTTCCCAGGACAAATCCTCCTGCTACATAATGGTGAAATATAGTAAAGAAAAACAAATTATAATGGGCCATGGGATCAGCCCGTTAGTTGTCAATGCCTATTGCATTTTCTAGTTTCAACCAAGATATGAAGGTTACATAGAAGTTTAAGACTATATGTGGAGGTTACATAGAAGTTTAAGACTATATGTGGAGGTTACATGGAAGTTTAAGACTATATGTGGAGGTTACATGAAAGTTTAAGTCTAGATGTGGAGGTTACATAGAAGTTTAAGACTCTATGTGGAGGTTACTTAGAAGTTTAAGACTATATGTGGAGGTTACATGGAAGTTTAAGTCTAGATGTGGAGGATACATGGAAGTTTTAAGTCTAGATGTGCAGGTTACATGGAAGTTTAAGCCTAGACGTGGAGGTTACATAGAACTTTTTGCTCTAATAGACCGGTAACCTTGCCATGGAGTCCTTGCTGAGCTTGACATTTAAACAGGCTGGTGGATTGTTTAAAGAGTGGTCTCCTTGGGGCCTCAGCCATATTGTGGATTTTGGTAAGTTTCATTTCTAATACTGAAGTTCATCTGAGTCGTGATGCATAACTATTGAAAATATTATCTTTTAGCTGCAACTCTTTCCCTCCAGTATTCCTGTTGTGAGAAGGTACTCCAGTTTTTCTTTCTCTTAACATGCTAAAATAATGGGACCTATCGTATGATATAGATAACTAATTCTCTTTATGAGTTAGTTTATTTTATGACAACTTCATTACACTATTTTCTTTCCATAATGTTCTCTTCATTCTTCTAAAACCCACATTTGTGCAGAATTCACATAATTTCTCACTAATTTTTTGACTGTCTGATTGATTTCTGTACATCAGAACGGGTCCTATGAAATAAAAACTCTATCACATTAATTGTCCAGCTATTACAGTTAAAAGGTATACATGTTTCTTGAGAATCATCTTGTTTTTCTGTCAGGTTCTCTCTTCTGAGACAGTTTTATTTTAAAAGATTGAGTTAGGTCCCATGCAGTAAGTAGCGTCTTGGCTCTACTACCCATCCCATCTCTGTGGGTCTGGTATCTTAGTCCTGGAATGATGTGAATTATGCAGAGCCGTTACTATTTAAACATGATGGATAATCTGTGAAATGCCTCATTCCAAAGTAAAGTGATTTTAAGTATTCTTGTTCCTTATTGTATCGTCCATTTGTTTTAAATGCTGGTGAAGTCTTTTTAATCAGAGCATAAATTCTTTCAGTTATCATTTTTATATGGTGACAATCACTAGCTCTATTTCTTGTTTATTTTGACTTTTTATGTGTACGGGGATATTTTACATTTCTTGTGTGATGTGATCTTTAATGTCTGCTTTCTCTCTTTCTACCTTCGACAATATCTGTAACACTGTTAGGTCAGTTCCACATCTTTTTCTTGCTGTTCTTATTAATGTCTTGGTGTTGTGTGTTCTATCTGTCAGATAGGGATGCGATCTTTTCATTTTTAAGCACTGACAATTCTGATAATTTTTCAGTCAAGTTTGTTACCACTTCGTTTTAAAAGTTTATTTTGAATTTCACATTCATATATTTACATCTTATCAAAATACTTTTTTTTATGTCACTCGTATGTCTAGCCAAATATGCCCAGTACGCCTTAATGCGTGGAAAGGGGTCGTATACTTACAATAAAACGTATAACAACAGGAAAGTGCTGATGACATGAGATTAATGTTTTATTATGGGTACCTGATGGTAATTTAAAAAAAATTAAGGCTGAATATGTGAAGTTGTTTGTATTTACCAGCTGTAAACCCCGGCGGAAAGTACTTGTTGTTTGTCTATGTCTAAACTTTGGCTTTGTTCAAGGACCTGAGTTTTGCATGTGCACTGGTTTCACAGATCTGACCTAATTCTAAGCAGACTGTTGGTTCCTTGCCTTTCTGACAGATGCACTCTAATTTTGAAGAATTCCCTTAATTAGTCTCCTACAACATGCTTCTTAGGGAGGCAGTGGGTCTGTTCTTGTTTCCCCCCGCACTATGGGGTTCCCAGAACTCACACAGAGGAAAAGTGATGCAGAGGATAAATGAAGAAAACGTGACAAGTACATGGAGATTATCACGTACATGACTTGCTAATATCCACAGTGACAGATTGTGAACATACCCTGCCAGAGGATATCTCACAGGACATCCAGAAGACTTTACCTGTTCTCAGAAAGCTAAATCGCTGTCTTGAGGTCTTGGCCAATGTAAGTCTCCTATTTGGTTTAGAATTGTAGTTTTTAGATGGTAGGCCACTGCATGGTTTAGAATTGTAGTTTTTAGATGGTAGGCAACTGCATGGTTTAGAATTGTAGTTTTTAGATGGTAGGCAACTGCATGGTTTAGAATTGTAGTTTTTAGATGGTAGGCAACTGCATGGTTTAGAATTTGTAGTTTTTAGATGGTAGGCAACTGCATGGTTTAGAATTGTAGTTTTTAGATGGTAGGCAACTGCATGGTTTAGAATTGTAGTTTTTAGATGGTAGGCAACTGCATGGTTTAGAATTGTAGTTTTTAGATGGTAGGCAACTGCATGGTTTAGAATTGTAGTTTTTAGATGGTAGGCAACTGCATGGTTTAGAATTGTAGTTTTTAGATGTTAGGCAACTGCATGGTTTAAAATTGTAGTTTTTAGATGGTAGGCAACTGCATGGTTTAGAATTGTAGTTTTTAGATAGTAGGCAACTGCATGGTTTAGAATTGTAGTTTTTAGATGGTAGGCAACTGCATGGTTTAGAATTGTAGTTTTTAGATGGTAGGCAACTGCATGGTTTAGAATTGTAGTTTTTAGATGGTAGGCGACTGCATGGTTTAGAATCGTAGTTTTTAGATGGTAGGCAACTGCATGGTTTAGAATTGTAGGTAGATGTAAATCACAGACGCATTGTTGTTCGGGAGCTTGCATGCCTTGTAAATAGATGGATTCGTATCTGAGCACAGGCCAAGCCAGTACAGTTCTGAGGTCAACCAGTTTCATATAAATGGGCACCGGAAGACGTGCTCATAACCTATTGTGTACATCTACTGTCAAAACAAGGAAAATAACACTATTTTGGTCACATCATGACTAGAAACAGCCAAAGAATCACCAGGTAAGCAATGATTTTGGAAGCAAATCTATTGAGGAAGTGGGGACGGACAAAACTAACCCAGAGACTAATTTCAGAGAGGCCAAAGGTGCTGGGCTGGATTCCATCCATGATATCAAAAGAATTGCCATGGATAGAAAGAAATGGAGGCCTAGACTGTGAGCCTTATGTGGCCTGTAATGGCACAACAGGATGAGTAGGATGATATAGTAATGGGTAGTCTGTCATTGAATGGTTGGGGCATATTCAAAGAATGTCAGATGACAGAGAAGTAAAAACTGTATACACGAGGGATATGAATGGTCGTAGACCACCAGGGAGACCAAGAAGATGATGGAGAGATAATATCCAATCAGACCTGCAAACACTTGGCGACACCAACTGGAAAGAGAAGGCCAACCAGAGAGATAAATGGAGCAGGTGATATCTGCAGCAATGAACCTCAAGACGTCGGAATGCTGAAGAAGAAGAAGAAAAGTCTGTCATTGCACATTACCATTAGTACTTTGATCTTCTCTCAAGCATGTTTCTGAATGTGTTAACACTCATGACTCCTGCTCCATACTGATTGGTCATCAAACAGCTTCATTTAGCTAGTTTTTTTTTTTTAACAGTTTGAAACTGTTGTGAATTTCATATCCAGAAGTTAACTTTGATTTCTCTTCATTATTGTTTTCCAACATAGAGGTAAGTAATTATTTAAAACTGAATTCCTGGTTGCTATACTGTTCCTCAAACTAAATGTACTTAACCTGTAAATTAAGTTCACCATAGAAAGTTTTTTAATTAATTGGGTGGTAATATTGATAGTCAAGGAAACAGAGAAAGAAATAATCGCATATATGTAAAGATCTAAAATTAGGAGTTTTTATAATATACCAGTGAAAGTTGAAGAACCACTAACAACATGGAACGAAAGTAAATAAATTCAAAACCCACCTGATGAAAATGATGAACACAGAATGGATGAATTCTAGAAGATTGAAGAAATAAGAGAACTGTCTGGACAACCACTTGTATCAACAATTATAAGAATATGGTGCTATACTGGACACATTCTGAGGAGAGACGACAGATAGTCACCAAACAGGCTCTGAAATGGGAATGAGAAAACGAGGACGTCTAAGAAAAACCCTAAGTCAGACGTTAATGAGGAAAGCCAAATGTGCTGCACTGGATTTTATCTATCATTTAGAACAGAATGGAGAATAGATTGCATTCTTTTTGTAGCATGTTAGGGCACAAAGGGACATTAAACAGTGAATGAATCATCATCATCATGTGGCAGGTCCTTTGCAGAACGTGGCTCTCATCACAGTCTGCCTGAAAGAAACTTGGTCTCTCACCAGTTCTCCCACCTCATGTACTTTCATACTCAAGGAGTCACTTATTGTGAATGAATGAATATTGAAAAAATATACTTTGTGCATGTGTTAAGTTCTCTGGAAGGTTTTCTGGGGCATCTGTGATTCTTGCTCTTTGCTTCATATTCTTAGACCAACCTTTGACCTGTGAGTCTTCAAGATTTGTTTTCCTCCAGCTATTTAAAAGAAAAACTTGCATAGGAGTGCCTGTAAAATCAGAACAACAATGTGCTGTGGTCATAAGATGTCGTCATCAACATTTTTCTAGTCATCACATGTTAAAACTATGTTTATAACTTCTTCTTTGTTTGTAATCTGGCCGTCAATTACTCCAATAAAAGTTAATTTTAGGTATTGGTATTTCCCTAGATTTGTTAGTTGTAAGAAAGAGGGTTGCCATTTTGTTTATGTTCATTACTGTAAGTTGGACCAGAAGCCTAGTAACAATGTATGTAATCAATTGCAGATAACCTTGTTGAAATCTGACAGCCAGATCTATCTGATCTCCTACAAAAATGCAGTATTAGTTCAGGCTTGTACAAGGTAATGTATGGATTGTGTATTTGCTATTGCTTTCAGTTATACTGGTTTACTAAAGTATAAATAAACGAGGAAAGTGTACAAAGGCTACAAGCAGAAATTAATATTTTCACATTAAAACATCTCAGACATGGCCATCAGAGTTACTGATTGCCATTGATGTGGGCTTGGTTGTCACACACATCATTCATGCTAAAAAGTGATGAAAACAGGTTACTGCAGTTAAGCTAATACCAGGAAATTAATCCAACGAACTGTGACTAAAAAGATTCAAAACAGACAAATCGACATTTCGCAAGGGCCTTTCTCTGCATTAACTGTACAATAATCCTTTGTTATTATTTGGTTCAGGTCAAGAAAAGCCCTGCCCGAAGCGTTGATTTGTCTATTGTGTGTATATTGTTTCTCTTCCCTCTTCATTCAGCTTTTTAGTTCCAGTTCATTGTGTTAATTTCATCATTCATGCTAATATGATTGCATCATTTCTGAGTAAAGCATGTCACTGCTGTCTTCGAGGTCTTGATACTGTAACCAACCTCTTATGGAAACAATCAGTAAAGCTGTCTTGATACTGTAACCAACCTCTTATGGGAACAATCAGTAAAGCTGTCTTGATACTGTAACCAACTTCTTATGGAAACAATCAGTAAAGCTGTCTTGATACTGTAACCAACCTCTTATGGAAACAATCAGTAAAGCTGTCTTGATACTGTGACCAACCTCTTATGGAAACAATCAGTAAAGCTGTCTTGATACTGTAACCAACTTCTTATGGGAACAATCAGTAAAGCTGTCTTGATACTGTGACCAACCTCTTATGGAAACAATCAGTAAAGCTGTCTTGATACTGTAACCAACCTCTTATGGGAACAATCAGTAAAGCTGTCTTGGGGTGGCTGCTGTATTGAAGGACAGCACATAGGAATGTCTAGTGTGCAGTGACATTTGATAACATAGGATCATGCATAATTTGTGATTCAGATACTCAGAGCTGTAGTTCAGTTCTGACCAGGGTATCAAAGGCATTTTAGAACCACAATGCCAATGAGGAGCAGCAGCTGTGCGAGTAGTTAAGAATGTTGAGTTCTCATTCAGGAGACTAAGAATCCTCGCTACGGTTATAGATTTATTTTTGTCGGGGGTAAAAATAAAATCCTAACCTGCACAGTCTTTGTTGACTTGGTAATCTAAGTTTCAGTTTCAAAGCAATCAGGTCACCCATAGTTGTTCCGCTCTTCCAACGAAAAACACACTATTAAGCGAGCTAGAACAGTGACATGTGATTTTGTTGAGCTGCTCTTTTAAAATGGTTCATTGAGCTCAGATCGGTAAATGTACCCAGACTGGGTGTTCAGATGATGTAATCTCACCATTAACGGCTTTCTAGCATGTTATCTGGTAATCTCTAGTTTCAGCTTCATGGCAAATGGGTCACCCGATAGTTGCTCCGCTCCTGTGTCAATGAAAAACACACAGATGTTTTATCACAGTTTCTTGTGGAAAGATTGACAGACTGCTGTCTCAACATATGCACTAGCATACATACTCATTAAAAGCATACGGTAGCCATCGGAAGTGCTAACACAAACAGTCCGACCTTAGAAATGCAGTTTATCATTGATGGTAGCAGAAATCACCAACAGATCATGGTTGCAAACACGATCAATTTTAATCACATAAGGGTACCACCAACTTTGCGACAACTGGCATCATGCCATTTTCTGAACCTACAATTCACACCACCATGTTGATCACAGTAGAAAAACATTCCAAAGGAAATCTGCAGCTCACAGTGTCACACCATGCACCCAACTCAGAAGCTGGGCGATGAAACTACCATTTCAGCCTACAAATAGAGCAAAAATGTACCGGCCACTGTCTGGCAGAAGCAAAAAAAAATTTCCGCTGCTCACTACAATGACCGTGCCTAGAGTCCATTTTGACCGGACGCTCTCTAGCATGTCATACTGAGACCAACGTGTTTTAATAGTGAACCCTGGGTCGTCCTGGAGGTCACGTTCTTGGCCTCCTATGCTTGCCATAGTTATTCTTACTGTTATGATGAACATTTCAGTAAATATTTGTATTGTATAGTTATTGTTTTAGAAACACTGCTTTTGCTTGTAAATGTTAAACGCAAAAGCATAATTTCCTTTAGAATATTGCTCTGGTGCCAGACTTGTATGCCTTCTTACAAGATGCTAGAAAATGTGGAAAAGAACAAAGCGCTGAAAGATTTCCCTGGGTACACCATCTTGACTTGCATGCTGGCTGCGTTGACGGTTTTGAATATTGTGACTGTAGAGAATGGTAAGTTTCTTTCTGACATCATTTTCGTGCTTTTTGTCTTTACTGCCTGTGTTTACCACTGGGGGAGGGCACCATATGGCCAGTTCAGTCGCCAAGAACTATGCAGGTTAGGATTTTTAAATTTGTCCCTCACAGAAAAAGTCTCTTAAGAGCATTGAACCCGGGTCTCCCACATGATAGTGCTCTAACCGATTATCCAGATACTCTGATGTTTAGTATGATTGTGCCATTGGAAAAGGAAGAGAAACAATAAACCTTCTTCCCCTTTACTGGCTGTAAACTGTGGTGGAAAATCTTGACTACGTTGACAAGACTTAGAGTTTTACAGGCATTAACTGTTTTAAAAAGCTAGCTTATTTGTGTGCAATGCACTCAAACTTAGACGGAAAGGTAAATCCTATCTGTGTTGGCCACGCAAGTCTGTTTCTAGAATGAACCTGGAGAAGTGTAGATTGGCCTTGTACAGTGTGTGGCTCAGCACCTCTGCATTAAAAAGAAGATTTAATAAGATTGATTCCAGTTACAGGTGTGAGGGAAAGTTAAGGCCCTTGTTTTATGTCGAAGGAGACTCTTGCCACACGTCCATGTCATGCTCTACAATAAAGGCCCACCTTGTGACCTTAACCAAGCTTGCAGGGGATCTTAGAGTTGGTGGCCTACAGATTTGTTGGTGTCCAGTGTGGCTCTCATTAGCCCAGTCCCAGTGCCTGAATGAAACACCTCAAAACTCATTCAGAACATGGACAGAGCCCGCTAGCTTAATATACTACCAGTACAGTATACTATTAAATGACAACTCTTGATTAAAAGTAATAGAACTACTGAATTGCTGAAACTCAGCCCTAGACCAAGAGATTTGCTTATAGCTTAGACAAGCAACATCTATTGCAGGACTTAATCTCATGGTAGTTTTCTGCCCTTGAACACCCGTTGTTGAACCTCAACGTCGCCGCCACAGCATTGAGGTACACCACCACATCTGCCACTGTCAGTCGACTGACTGTCCAGACACCTAATGTTTGGCAGAAAGGTTCACATGTCCATTATCAGTGGACAGAGTGGCCAAAGTGTCTGGACCGAAGAGGAAAAACCATGCTGGACACATGCTTTTCCACACTTTCGTGCTAAGTGTTCTGATAAAACATGTTAAAGGTATCTGTATCATGTTGATGAATATTTATGTGGTCTTTGAAGTCCTGGACCTGCGGACTGCTCCCTGCTAATCTCCCTGCTGAACATAACATGTTTATTGATGAAATACAACTGCTGTTTGAAAGATGGAAGTTTGGAAGGGCCGAATGTAAGACAAGCCTGCGTGCCTAATTTGAAACAATTTTAAAATAAAGTTTGTTCGTTCGTTCTCATAAAGAGTGGGAAGCTCAACATACTGAAGATAAGATGTCATATGCAGGACATGATGATTACTTGGGTGAACCCGAAACCAGAGCATTATGTGTTGGCTCTGCATTTATGGAAGCCACTTTAGATGGCGGGGAATGCAAATGATCTGCCCCTGCCTTTACCTTAGGGATGACCAGCCTACGCACGGTTGCCCTGGATAGGTTTTCTAGAGGCAATACCTGTAGATACGGAGACAAAGAGAACACCACACAAATAACACTATGTCATGTCGCATGAAACTGTCTGGGAAGTCAACCCATCGACAAATGCTGGATGAAGTCAGATGTTTTGGCCGAAAGACGCAAATATTGTAGCTTTGCTGTAAACAGGCACTCAGACGAACGAAAAGAAGAAGATTGTAAATATGTGTGCCTCAGGTTTCAAAAAGAAACATTAGAAAAGACCATAAAGTATCTCTTTCAATGCAAGATAGTTTGTGATAATTATACAACAGAAAGTTTCTTTGTCAACACAGGAGTCAGACAGGAATGCATACTATCCCCCTTTTTGTTCAAATTTGCCATTCACAGGCTGATGAAGTTAACACAAAATAGAAAAAAAGGCATCAGGTGGTTACTCACCTCTGTTTTAGAGGATTTGAACTATGCAGATGACTTCAGCCTTATATCAAGCCTTCCTGTGGACGCTCAAGAAAAGATCGAAAGACTTTCAACAACAGCCCTTAAGATAGGATTCAAAATAAACACCAGTAAAACTAAATTAATGAAAAATAATTTCAAAACAGAAAATCCAATTTTCTTAAATGTTAAAGCAATAGAGGTAGTTAAAGAATTTATTCACCTTGAAAGTAAAGTCCAGATGGAGATTCTGAAAAGGATGTAACATCAAGAAAAAAACAAAGCAGATTTAGTTTGAAGACTAAACTCAGAATATACAAGAGCAGCATTTTAAGAATACTATTATACAACAGTGAATGTTGGAAAATGACAGCGGGAATTACACATAAACTTGAGACTTTTCAAAATAAATGTTTGAGGAGAATTCTACAAATTTTTTGGCTAAACAAGATCACAAATGAAGAACTGAGGAGGAAAACAGAATGTGCATCACTGGTAAATGTTATCAAAGTAAGACAATGGAGATGGCCTGGACATGTTTGCAGAATGCCTTGTGACATTCTTGCAAAAACAGCTCTCCGGCGGACAGCAGATGGGAAAAGGAGACGTGAAAGACCTAAGGAAACCTGGAGAGGGACAATAGAATAAGAAAGGAAGGAATGTAAACTGACATGGGATACCATGGGCAAAAAAGCAGCAGATCGGCAGAAGTGGAGATCACTTTGTATGCCTTTTGTGTCAACAGTGTCATGAAGAGGATATAGATAATATATATAGATAGATAAAGTACCTCTAAATTCCAATAGAAAAAGTAGAAATTAAAATATCTATAGTGTTTACATGTATTTATGAATTGTTTAGCAGATACCCAGTTTATTACATTTCCTGTTTGGAGACAGAACATTCTTCCCCTTGAACCACGTTTACCCTGTGGTTATTATTAGCTAAGCTGCAATATTTGCACTTTTTGGTCCAATATGACTAATTTTAGTAAACCCTCTAATTAGTCACCTCTGTGGCATGCTTGTAGGGGGCAGCCCTCTAATTAGTCACCTCTGTGGCATGCTTGTAGGGGGGCAGCCCTCTAATTAGTCACATCTATGGCATGCTTGTAGGGGGCAGCCCTCTAATTAATCACCTCTATGGCATGCTTGTAGGGGGCAGCCCTCTAATTAGTCACCTCTGTGGCATGCTTGTAGGGGGCAGCCCTCTAATTAGTCACATCTATGGCATGCTTGTAGGGGGCAGCCCTCTAATTAGTCACCTCTGTGGCATGCTTGTAGGGGGCAGCCCTCTAATTAGTCACATCTATGGCATGCTTGTAGGGGGCAGCCCTCTAATTAGTCACCTCTGTGGCATGCCTGTAGGGGGCAGCCCTCTAATTAGTCACCTCTGTGGCATGCCTGTAGGGGGCAGCCCTCTAATTAGTCACCTCTAAGTCACCTCTGTGGCCTTGTAGGGGGCAGCCCTCTAATTAGTCATGCTTGTAGGGGGCAGCCCTCTAATTAGTCACCTCTATGGCATGCTTGTAGGGGGCAGCCCTCTAATTAGTCACATCTATGGCATGCTTGTAGGGGGCAGCCCTCTAATTAGTCACCTCTGTGGCATGCTTGTAGGGGGCAGCCCTCTAATTAGTCACCTCTGTGGCATGCCTGTAGGGGGCAGCCCTCTAATTAGTCACCTCTGTGGCATGCTTGTAGGGGGCAGCACTCTAATTAGTCACCTCTATGGCATGCTTGTAGGGGGCAGTGGGTCTCAGTTACCTCCCTGAAAATTAGCTCCTGGAACCCACATTTAGTAAAGAGAACACAAATGCAATGTACTGGTTGTGGGACTGGATTCCTGACGTGAGTGTATAACTGGACTTGAGTCTTGTGCCATGACTAGAGTTTTGCATGCACATCTCTTTAAAGAGCTAGCTTATTTGTCAGGGAAAAGAACACTGTTCAACACAATATTCTTACCAACCCTATCAATGTCAAACATAGACACTGTCTTCAGAAGACAGAAGGAAAATAGTCACAAGAGAAATAAAATGTTTACGTACTATACTTGGTGTCCGGAGGAAAGATCGACTTAGGAACGATGATATCAGGAGAAGAGTCAGCTCAGAACCAATATTGAAGTTTGCAGCTAGACAGCAAGTCAAATGGTTTGGCCATATAACAAGACTGGCATCAGAAAGAGAGCAGTGTTATTGTTGTGTGCTATCTGAGTTACACACTAATCAGCACACTTCCAAGTGTCCAGAAGGTAAAACTTTAGCTCCCTCTCACTCGAAGCAGGACTCGACGACAGTAGCTCCGTCATACATTTTATTCAACAGGTTACAGGACACAACTGCAGAGATGTAGACATTGATCCTAATTGACATTTAAACATAGTCCATTTAGTCCTCACTCCCTCTCTCTCAACTTGTAGCCACCTCTCCCTAACCACTACAGCTCCACAGGTCTACAGCGTCCCACAACTCTGGGCTCACCGTACAGCTGAACAGGACGAATTCTCCTATTCACTGGACCTTGATATTATTTCAGCAGACAACAACGGCTGACTGAAGACGGACTTCACTTGCGCGTTCTCAAGCATGTGCCCACAGCACCTCAGCCTGTCGAAGGACTCCGATGACTGACAGGACTTCTAACACAAGTCCCCTGTAGCACACAGCTCTCGTCGGCATCCCTACTGTTCTGTTTCCGTGGTGACCTTATGTCTCCTCACGTCGTCACCCAGAACAGTAACTATTGGAGCATCAAGTCTCCTTGGACTTACTTTGCCAGTGGGACTATACCTTCGACCAGTACCACAACCCTTACTCAGACCTTGATGCCTGATAGTTGTACGGTACTCTGTCTGGTAGTCTTAGTTTCAGCTTCATAGCAAACGGGTCACCCCATCTTTGCTCCGCGACTTGGTCTCTCTGTCTTGCTCTGACTGTCGGACTCTTACTGACTCAGCTGACCACTCAGCCCTATATATCTCTGCCAAACTCATGTGGGCGTGTGAGCGTTCTCGGGAATCATGATCATGTGGGGATTCTCGAGGATAACGCTCGTGTGGGTGTTCTCGAGGATAGCGCTTATGTGGGTGGCTGATGTTACATGAGAATCACCTTATCACATAATTCAGCCTTTCTCTGCGGGTCTCGTTATCCATGCTTGTCAGCCCCCACACAGAAACCCACGCGTCTACTTTCTCGTGCGTGCAGGCCTCGTTCATGATAATACATTTTCACTGGTCAACATTCTCTCCCCCTCAGTACTCAGGCCAGTGTTGACCCTGTTCCCCTTGAACTCACAGAAAGTACTATCATACCCCTCTGTCCCTTCACACACTATTACACTCTCCCAAATCAGCACGCAACAGTTATGCAGATACAGCGGTAACTGCCAGAGGTCCACCACGCAAAACATGGACTGCACACATATCAGAGACACAGCGAACAGAAAGGCCTGTTCCAGATATCTCTTCTTACCCTGACGCTATAAGGCATTCCAGGGGTAGAGAAAAGAGGAAGAGAAAGTATATAATGTTTTTATTTGTGGAAGATTTGTAATGTTTGGATATTTAGTGCAGGGCTATTGAACTAAGTTTAGTCCTGGGTCAGTGTGTTAATACTTGGGATTGTCACAGGCCAGAGACTGGAGCTCCCGCAGTAGTATTGACAGTGACATGAGGGCCACTTGATAGGCCCACAGGCCATCAATTTAATGGCTCTGATTTACTGCTTGCTGTTTCAAGTTTTGACAAATTGGCTTTCAGAGCTGAGGAATCTGGACTCGGAGATGGAGACCTCTCTGATGGAAACCATCGTTCAGTGCTTGACTACAGCACATTGGTATATCCCCACGGAGAAAAGGTTCGAGTTGGACTTATTGGTATGTCCTGGCTTTTATTATTAATAGTTAAACTTATTCAGAAAATTTGAAATTCCCCCCCCCCCCCCCCCCACCCCCCCCCCCCCCCCAAAAAAAATTTGATGAACTATTTGATTGGTAATGTCTATGGGTGTAAAGTGTCCTTCAGAAATGTTTGATCAGTGTGTATGGATGTAAATGGTTATTCACCAGTGTTGGGTTATAAAACAAAAATTTATGGGCTATTAAATTCATGTATATGGAGGAAAAAAGAGCAGAAGAGGGATTACATGATTGGTTGAGACAAGGCCAGGTGGGGGGGGGGGGATGAGCACACAGGCAAACTCCAGGCTAATGACCACCAGAGATCACAAGGAATGTCTGACATCCTGCTTTGTGTATGGACAGGAGATGCTCATTGGCAATTTCCATTTGAGACCAAAAAATGCATGTTAGAAGATAAATGTGCTAACAGACTAAATAATTTACTGCAGTAGAATAACTGTCCTGTTTGACAGGTGGCCGACATGTTACAAACTGCTGACACATTGAGAAGAGAGGATATTCCTCCGGGACGAGAGTAGACTGAGGCAAAGCAGGCCTAATATCGGCAGAAGGAATACTTAGTAACAGGGACATTTTAGTCCAGATTTTAATAGAACTATAGTTTGTCGGATATAGTCTGTCCACAGTTCTGTCGAAGCAGTAACATAGAAAGTTAATATCAGACTTGTGAATAGCAGCTGAGTATAGATTTGCACAGATTTTGTTGCAAGAAAGATCTCTGGACTTACTTAGAAATACAATGACTATCTTATCACCTATGTACAAGGGGAAGTCACTAAGAAAAAGCAATTGTATCCTAGTCTGCATGATACAGTAAGCAGAGGAAAAAATATTATTTCAGATACCGAAACTACATGTGGTGATTTTGCAGTATGTGGATGCTAAACAGCTCATTCAAGACGGTGGCAACCCTGTTTACATGGTAATTTACCATGGAAGAACAACAAGGTGTTGTTGTTTTTTTTTCTTCAAATAATGGGCAGAGGGTGTTAAACCTTAAATTTATCAAAAGAATGAAAGTTCAATACGAATTCAGTTATTTGTGTCAGAGAAAAGTATAAATATGCGGAAGGATTTAAAAACAGGGTCAAAGGTTTGCAGATGATAACGAGGTGATGTCGATGGTGCAGACTTGGTTACTGGCAACACCCAAAAGCCTCTACCTGGTGGGCATTCAGTCTTGTGGATCGGGGAACTACAAAAGTTGCAAGGACTATGTCGAGAAATAGGACACAGAACAATATTGTTCTGGCTGCTTGTAACAAACTTATTAATGCAATTGTCTTTACTAAATTTGTTTCCCTCATAAACTGTGGCATGCTTAAAGGAACTCGGGGAGCATATAAGTGCTGATATCGCTACGTGAATGTAAAGTGTCATTTTCATAATCATGACTTGTGAGACACAAAACAAGTCATGTTTAACAACAAATGGACTGATAATGACAGGACCAGGGCTCTTAACCACCCATTCTCTTTCTCTCCCCCCCCCCCCCCCCCCCTCTATGTGGTTGTAAAATGTCAGTCGTCCTGTTTCCTCAATGTAAATGGTTGTAAAGTATCAGTTCTCCTGTTTCCTGCGTGTATATGGTTGTAAAGTATCAGTCCTCCTGTTTCCTCAGAGTATATGGTTGTAAAGTATCAGTCCTCCTGTTTCCTCAGAGTATATGGTTGTAAAGTATCAGTCCTCCTGTTTCCTCAGTGTATATGGTTGTAAAGTGTCAGTTCTGTTTCCTCAGTGTATATGATTGTAAGGTGTCAGTTCTGTTTCCTCAGTGTATATGGTTGTAAAGTGTCAGTTCTGTTTCCTCAGTGTATATGATTGTAAGGTGTCAGCTCTCCTGTTTCCTCAGTGTATATGGTTGTAAAGTGTATGTTTCCTCAGTGTATATGGTTGTAAAGTATCAGTCCTCCTGTTTCCTCAGTGTATATGATTGTAAAGTGTCAGTCCTTCTGTTTCCTCAGTTTATATGGTTGTAAAGTGTCAGTCCTTCTGTTTCCTCAGTGTATGTGGTTGTAAAGTGTCAGTCCTTCTGTTTCCTCAGTTTATATGGTATAAAGTGTCAGTTCTGTTTCCTCAGCTTATATGGTTGTAAAGTGTCAGTCCTCCTGTTTTCTCAGTGTATATGGTTGTAAAGTGTCAGTTCTGTTTCCTCAGGTCATATGGTTTAAAGTGTCAGTTCTGTTTCCTCAGCTTATATGGTTGTAAAGTGTCAGTCCTCCTGTTTTCTCAGTGTATATGGTTGTAAAGTGTCAGTTCTGTTTCCTCAGTTTATATGGTTGTAAAGTGTCAGTCCTTCTGTTTCCTCAGTGTATGTAGTTGTAAAGTGTCAGTCCTTCTGTTTCCTCAGTTTATATGGTTTAAAGTGTCAGTCCTTCTGTTTCCTCAGCTTATATGGTTGTAAAGTGTCAGTCCTCCTGTTTTCTCAGTGTATATGGTTGTAAAGTGTCAGTTCTGTTTCCTCAGGTCATATGGTTTAAAGTGTCAGTTCTGTTTCCTCAGCTTATATGGTTGTAAAGTGTCAGTCATCCTGTTTTCTCAGTGTATATGGTTGTAAAGTGTCAGTTCTGTTTCCTCAGTTTATATGGTTGTAATGTGTCAGTCCTTCTGTTTCCTCAGTGTATGTGGTTGTAAAGTGTCAGTCCTTCTGTTTCCTCAGTTTATATGGTTTAAAGTGTCAGTTCTGTTTCCTCAGCTTATATGGTTGTAAAGTGCCAGTCCTCCTGTTTTCTCAGTGTATATGGTTGTAAAGTGTCAGTTCTGTTTCCTCAGCTTATATGGTTGTAAAGTGTCAGTTCTGTTTCCTCAGTTTATATGGTTGTAAAGTGTCAGTCCTTCTGTTTCCTCAGTGTATGTAGTTGTAAAGTGTCAGTCCTTCTGTTTCCTCAGTTTATATGGTTTAAAGTGTCAGTCCTTCTGTTTCCTCAGCTTATATGGTTGTAAAGTGTCAGTCCTCCTGTTTTCTCAGTGTATATGGTTGTAAAGTGTCAGTTCTGGTTCCTCAGGTCATATGGTTTAAAGTGTCAGTTCTGTTTCCTCAGCTTATATGGTTGTAAAGTGCCAGTCCTCCTGTTTTCTCAGTGTATATGGTTGTAAAGTGTCAGTTCTGTTTCCTCAGCTTATATGGTTGTAAAGTGTAAGTTCTGTTTCCTCAGTTTATATGGTTGTAAAGTGTCAGTTCTCCTGTTTCCTCAGTGCCTTGGCATACTGAGGGGCCTGGTTCAGCACAAAGAATCTTACCGCAAGATCATGATGAGCCTGCAGACGGATGTGAAGTACACAGAGAAGTCACAACCTAAAACCATGAGTGCCATCAAGGCAGTAGTGGAGGTTGGTCTGATATTCTTTAAGTTGAATCGTAGTTCATGCAGAATACCTGTATATCTCAACCGCTGACAGTTGCTTGATTCTGATGTTTACAATAAGTTGTCTTTGGGTCATCATCATCATGTGCCGTGCTTGCAAGCATAGGCTGTCTTTGCCGTATTTCAGTCTCACACATCAGAAAAACGGTACAGGTCAGTGCTGTTGTCTATCCTGATCTATGCGGCTGAGCCATCTATTTGCCTTTCTCTTGCTCTCTTTCCATCAGTCCTGCCAACTGTTACCAATTTTTCAAGCATTTTCTTTTAATAACATGTTCAGAAAACACAAGACTCTTTGTGTCTTATTATTTTAATTAGACTTTTATCTGTCTTGAGGAAGACAGCCATGTTCGTTTCTCTATAATTTCATTAATTTTTTTTTTTTTGCATTCATCTAAAAAAAAAAAAACATCTCCACTGCAAGTGAATGTTTTGCCTCTTTCTTCTCCTTTCTCCATCCTTTGTCTCATTTCGTCCCTTACCTCTCTATCACTCTGTTCTCTCAATCTCCCCCAGCCCCCCCCCCCCCCCAGCCTGTCTCTTGCATTCTCTCTCTCTCCTCTAGTCTTCTTCTTCCCTTTCTCTCTATCTTTCCTTTAACTCTCTCCTCCCCACCCCCCTTCCCCTTCCATGTTTTTCATAGTGAACTAGAAGAAGAAACAATCAAATTCCTTTCTAGTTGCTGTTAATTTTGTTATAGTCATGTGAATCATTGAGAATATGTCAATTTGTGTTATTGGAAATATATATAAACTGTCATTTGTCTTTGGTGTTGTTGTATTTTATCTTAGCTGTTTGTCCAGAGGGAAGAGGCTGCCGGTAATATGTACGATGACACCTCGGAGGAAGATGAGGACAATCAGAGCATCCTGGAGGATGACGATGAGTCATATACAGAAGGTCACTTGTGGCTGTCATCATTTGTGTCATTTAAATGTACCTAGATAGTATAAGATAATTATCATCATGTAGCAGTGCTTTTGCAAAACGTCACACTCATGTTCTGCCTATAAGAAAATTGGTCTCTCGTCAGATTCACCTCGTGCACTTTCCTCCCAAAGGTGTCACTTATTTTCTGTGTCCATCTTCGTGCTGGTCAGCCCCTGCCCCAGTTCCACGCCTATTGATATTATTTTCTAGTGGCGCTTGATATGGCCCAAAATTGTCAGTTTCCGAGACAAGTCACTGTTCAGATCTTTAATGGTGTCATTTTTTCTGTTCTTTTTGTCCAAGGTATTCTGAGAATCTTTCTATAGCATTTCAGCTTAAAAGCCCCTATTTATATGTGAGAATAAAATATAATGTAATAGACAGAAAGGCACAAATGCCACATTTCAACCCTTTCACTGTTACGTTCCAATCTGCACTGTGGGGAAAAAAAAGTATCCCCTTTGCACAATACTTTTCTACCCTTAAAACGCAAAAGATGCGTCCACGTTGAGGGATATATTTGTACACCTAAACAAATTTACCCTAGGGAGGTGTGTAGTTGGCCAGAGCTCTGACAAGTCAGACGCATAATGGCGACGCTAAGAAACCTTGTCTTTACCTAAAGTAACCACTATAAACTAGATTGAATTGTCGAGCTTCGCTAAGAAAAGGGAAAGAAAATGTATCCTTTTCATTCCGCGCTGCCGTATTTGTAGTAGAAACTCTAAATAAGAGTTTCACAGACTCCACAAACTTCGCCCCACAGTTTTGACCGAAGAAGCTACCACTCCTCACAGAGGGTGTGATTAATGGGAAGAACTGTTTCCAGTCACTACTCCAAAATTTGATTGATAAATCTACCATGGCTGCAACTTTAATCATAATTAATTGTATTCCCTAAGTAATTACATTAAAAACAAAAAATAATACTTGAGTCATCTGTTGCCAAAAAGTGGCAGGAAGTTAAAGCGAAAATTTAGTTTTAAAAAAAAAGTCCAGCCGGGGGTTTAGCATAAGACTTTGCGATTGTAAGGCGGACATGATACCCACTACACTAGACTATCATACAATAACAACACCCAAAAATAAGGCCAGTACTGTACTGTGTGATAGACTGACACATGCAATGTCTGTTGTATAGTATACAAGATAATTGATTATAATCATCATGTCAGTACATGACCATATCCTTTTGCTGATCATTGTGGATCCATTTCAAATCCAGTAAATGTTGAAAGCTGGGTCAGTTAGTCTTGCTCGCCCCATAAGTACACCCGTCCGCCGGCGTATCAGTGTCTTTGATATTTTTGTCATCCATATTCTACGTGATTGACCTCTGGCTCTTGTTACCACTGTATCTGTTTAACATTGCTGTCTGTAGTGCCCTGTCTGATACCAATCTTGTTGCATGGCGAAAGTTAAGTATTGGTTCCGTGCAGACGCCCTCCTATTAAAATAGTTTCTTAGTTGATCTTTCGTCGCTCTTCAAGTGGCTTTAAAAATAATACACATTGATTTTCAGTTTCGTTTGAAAAGAAATATTCTGTACTATAGAGTACAAAATCCATGTGTCTGTACATTTTCAGTCAACTAATATCTCCTCTTTTGAAGGGGAATTACTCTACTCTCAGTACCAAGCAAAATTGTTTGTAAAATCATCATAATGTGGCTCGAAAAAGGAGTAGATAAATGCCTACGAGTGGAGCAAGCAGGATTCAGAAAGGGCAGAGGAACAACTGAACACATCTTTGCCATACGCAACATTTTAGAGCAATGCAATAAATGGCAGAGAAGTATATATATTAATTTTGTGGACTTTGAGAAAGCCTTTGACAGTGTCTATAGAGACAGTTTCTGGAAAATACTACATCATTATGGAATTTCAGAAAAGATAGTCAACATAATTGCTCTCCTCTATAAAGACTTTTTCTGCAGTATAAAAAATTACATCTTTCCCAGTAAAGACAGGTGTAAGACAGGGATGTGTTATGTCATCCCTCCTCTTTAACCTTGTGATTGATTGGATACTAAAGAACACACAAGACAAGACATTGAGAGGCATACAATGGACTCCATTCACCATGCTTGAGGACCTTGATTTTGCAAATGATATAGCACTCCTATTACATAAACATAAACAAGAGAAAAGTAACAGACTAGACAGCACAGCAGAAATGGTGGGACTGAGAATTAATACAAGGGAGACTAAGATCATGACAAACTGTCCAAACCAACAACTAGGGACTATAAATAACCAAACACTTGAAAATATAGACAATTTCACATTTCTTGGTAGTGTGGTGTCCTTACTGGGAGGGACAGAGGAAGACATACAGTCATGCCTGAACAAAGCTAGAGCTGCTTTTGGAAAGTTGAGGTAAATTTGGAAATCCAACAGTAACTGCAGTGGAACGAAACTCTGACTCTACAAGAGCATCATTTTGCCAGTTCTTCTTTATGGAGCAGAATGCTGGAGAATGACCAAAAAGGATGTGCGCAAGCTACCCACCTTCCACCACACATGTCTACATAGAATTATAAAAATTGTCTGGCCAGATACAATCTCAAACACTAAACTACTTCAATTCACAAACCAAGAAATTCTAGACAGTATGATAACCAAGAGAAGATCAAATTGGCTTTGCCACGTTATGAGAATGACTTCTGATATACCTGTCAAAACAGCTCTCACATGTATACCAGTGGGAAAGAGAAAAAAGTGGTGCCCAAAATCAACATGGAGACGAACAATGAAAGTGACCTGAGTGCGGCATCTCTGACATGGAAAACTGCACTGAAGATTGCACAGGACAGGAAAGCATGGAAAGTCCTCTCTGAAGCCTTATGTGCCACTAGGCATAACGAGAACTGATGATAAATATCTCCTTCAAAACGGTGACCAGAAGATGGGTTAAATTTGCAGGTGAAATAATTATATCTAGAAATGATATATTGTAATTATTTCTGTACGCATATGTTATAATATAATAGAATAAAAGATCTTCTTCTTCAGCGATCTCTGGTCATGCGCATAAGCCACTATGGGTCATAAACTGGGATGTCTTTTCAAGGTCTCTTAGGTTTCCCCAAAGCTTAGTTGTCAGTTCTACTGGGTGTTGCCATTTCTCGCTCCGCAGCTCCGCCAGGAGAGGACAGTCTTCCAGGATATGTTCTGGAGTCTGTTCAGCATGAAGACACTGGCAGAGAGCTGTTTGGCTCATACCTATTTTATATGAGTGTTTATTGAGTCTGCAGTGTCCAGTGCGTAAGCGAAAAACTGTGACTTGGTCTGTTCTGTTCAAGTGCCTCAGAAAATCTTTTCCCTAGTTATAACCAGTGTTGCTTTTCTAATCTGTTTTTGATTTTCTCTTATTGAGAGTTTTGACTTCTGGAAAAGATAGTGGCTGGTAGGTCTGTCTTCCTTGGCTAAAGCATCTGCGCTTTCATTGCCTTTAAAGCCACAGTGAGACAGAATCCACTGCAAGTGAATTTCTGCCTTATTTGACAACATAGCAAGTTCCTGTGTTAGACTTTGTAGTGTGCTGTCGGTAGGTTTGGACTCAAGGGCCTGTATAGCTGACAGTGAGTCAGTGAGAAAAACTATCCTGCCTGCAGTGATTTGCAGATTGTTCATATTCTTTGCTGCCATCAATAGAGCTGAGAGTTCTGCCTTGTAGTTAAAGCAAGTTCGTCCGGTGGGGGCTGCTAGGGACACAGTAGTGGCATCTGGGTGTTTTATGTAAACACCTGCCCCACCATCCGTAGTTGCCTCTTTTGCTGATCCATCCGTGTAGATTCTTGTCCAGCTGTCCTGTGGGAACATGTTGTTGAGGTGTTCCATTGTGAGTGCTTTCTTCACTAAAGCGGGCTCAGCATCTTTGTTTCCCAGGTTGAGGATGGATGTTGACACATTGAGTGTCAATAATTCGGAGTCCCAGAGATCGAAAGATAGCTCTTCAGGTGTACATTGTTGGTTAAGTAGTGAAGAGAATGACTTTCCAAATTCCTTCGTTAGATGGTTTAGGCTTGTGCGCTTTATTCTGTTTTTTTGTCCTGGCTGCCAATTTTTCGTGTAATGGGTGGTTTAGCATTCTCTTCATTTTTTCAGCATGTAGAATTGCTTTTGTCCTTCTTCTTTCTTCTAAGGGGATGATGTTGGCTGCCTTTTCCATTTCTACAATAGGTGTAGATTTTACGGCTCCCAGAATTGTACGCAGACTTCTATTTTGCGTTTTGTCTAGTATCTGTTTGAAGAGTGTTGCTACAGTTTTGTTCCTGTTTACTTCGAGGCCCCATTTGTTGGCCCAGTTTATGACACTATTCACACTTTCCTGGAGTTTTGATATGGCAGGTCCAATGAACTCAGAGGTGTACCACACAGCTAGGTCATATGCATGAAGAGAATGTGATACATGTCTGGGTAAAGTTTGAGGTAGGTCGTTGATGTAGATCAGGAACAGGACTGGAGACAGTACACTACCCTGTGGTACTCCTGCTCTCAGCTTGAATCTGGGACTATGTGCTTCATCTAGTTTCACAGATGCCCGCCTGTGTGATAGGAAGTCTTGTATCCAGTAGTACATTCTGCCTCTTATTCCACTATGTAAGAGCTTTAGCATCAAGCCATCCTTCCATACTTTATCAAAAAGACTGAGGGTTTTCTTCTTTTCCTGGAAGCCATTTTCTATGTCCTGTGTAAGGTATGCTACCTGGTCATCAGTGCTTCTGTGCTGTCGGTAGCCTGTCTGAGCGGGATCCAGTTTGTGATTGGTTTCTAGGAACCACTGAAGTCTGGTGGCTAGCACTCTCTCCATCAGTTTTGCGGGGCAGCTTAGCAGACTGACAGGCCTGTAGCTCTGAGGGTCCTTCTTGTCCTTGCCACTTTTGAGGATAGGGTGGATTATAGCATTTTTCCAGATATCTGGGACTCTGCCTAGTTTCCAGCTATAGTTGTATATCTGGAGTAAGATGTTTTGT